CACACTCCCTCATAAGTCTAGAATGAAAATAGATCATTCTGATTTTGTAAAGGACACAATATGAGTACCAACACGAACCCTTTGTAGGTGACCATCACCTCAATCACACAAAAGAACATCGCAGAAACTATCGGCTTTCTCAGGAGGCCATATAAAGAGAGCCGTCATAGAACCTGCTTAAAAGTGCGGTTAAAACCCCAATTGGTCCAGAAGCTGCGTATCGATCGATTGATGGCTCGTCATAAGATCAAATGAGTCGGCGAGTGCCACGAACCTCAAATCGTTTTTCGTCTAGCCTTTGAATAAGTGTGCCTCTTTTCAACCCCAAAACCGATTATGTGCTTGCATCCCGCTTATCGTGGGCGCGTTTTGCTGTCGAGACCTTTGCTGAAACGAACTCCGCATGTCATCTTATCTTTTTATAGCTTTAACGACAGCATCGGAGTAGTTTCAAGCGTATGGAAGGAGATACTGGACGTGAATAGCGCAAACACGCTAGCGGATACGAAGTTCGCGGGACGATAACTGGGCTTAAAAACAAAAAAATCTACAGTGTAGAAAAGAGAGCTGGACCAAAAAATCGAAGGATCCTTCTGGCCTCTATATTTTACCTTCAAAAAGAAAACATAAAATTACAGGAGTAGAAGCTAATCGATGCGTTTTGCCTCGAGTGGCATCGGAAACTTCGATATGGAAATGGCTTCGATAGGGGGCAAAATAAAAGGTCGCACACTTTCGGTTAGTCCAAATAGACGTGTCTATTTTATTCATATGTCATATTAAATTGTGACTCCGGAGGTGTAGTAGGAAGCGCAATATAGAAATTGCATTCTCGAACTCGAGTTTGTTTTTTCAAGCTATACCGCACGTGCACGTACCTCTTCAAGTGTGATCCCTGTAGAAATTCGAAATTTCGACAAAGGCTTGGATCTAACACGTGGCTACAGGTTTTCTCTAGAATGAAGCAGCGTAAATTGTCTTTGCGTCAGCTGTATCCAAAATCCCATCGCCGCTTGTGTAGATTTCGTTATACCGAGTTTCAGACAAGACTGCGCTCTATTCTAATTAATAAAATGTTGATCATATTTTGAGAGCAGTCAAGCTATATGAAAGGAAAATCCCGAAGCAGATAGGTTTTTTCTGATTCTTGTGTAATATTGACAGTCTAGTCGTATTGGGCCTATTGGTGGAACGTTCGTTTCTTGAAGATCACTCAATCAACAAAATTACTGGAAGCACGCATGGGTAAGTTAAAGAGCGGTATGACCCTATCAACAGTATATTGGGTCTTTGAAGAAATGTTTAGGAGATGATCGAAGCGCACTATGTGCTGTAATCTAGGTTAACTAATTTCCACATAATCTGCTTCCGAATGATTATGTCCGAGAGTGATTATGTACCATGAGCTATGTCGAAAGAGACTTCATATCACCATTATACGGACAACTAGGAACGGCAAATGACAATACCAGCTTATACCAAGATAGATTCATATTAATGTAATGCCAAACGATCGCAGTTAGAACGTAGAAACAAGAACAAGCACGTAGATTTGTGGCAGACTTTTTAGTTTTTGGAACACAGACGAGGCCACTACTTGTGCTTACCACTTTACTTCAGCGAATATTCAGGTAACGACTACTTCCGTTTAAGTTAGTAGCGGCAGCATGTTGAGGTGAAGGGAACCGATGACAGGACATCTGCCGAAAATGATGCTAGTAAGAGTCGAAGTCATCGTGGGGCAGGAGGCGAGATCGTTGCAGATGTCGGCGGGACAAGTGCCGTTGAAGCAACTGCCCTCCGATTCTCGACATTTGAAACGGTGTCCCCATTGCCACGTAGCAGTAGAGTTGCTGCACCAGGGAAAGGGGGAAACTACGTTTGTCCTGGATTTTGGCTAGTAGCAGCAGTACCAGTTTTGCCACCATCAGTAGGCAAAGAATCCGAATGGAATTGTTTCGTCTTCTTTTGCCGTTACAGCAACGCAGGAGCAGCCGTTAAAGCTCTCACACAGGGCGCGGTCGATGAACAGTCTGATGACAAAGGCAGCAAACTAAAACGAAAACATGGGACAAAATGGGTGTCAAGACGTGTCTCTGGGTCTGTGTGTGCATGTCTGAAGGTGAGAAGATGTGAGTCGACATGAACCAATATGAGCCAACCGGACCAACGTACTACTTGTCTGCGTACGAGTTCAAAGTGTGAGCAAATGACTGTGCTTACCTTGTAGTCAAGCATTGTGCCGGTGCTGCTGGTTATTGAAGCTGGCCGGCGTAGCTGAAAGGCTAAAAAAATGAATGACTTAGCAGTAATAACGCTAGCGGCCATAGCTGCAGCAAGAGGATAGTCAGAAGCTGAAGTGTCATTGTTGAATGGATAGCCAAATAGAGCGCAGCTATTACACACTTGTAGCGACCCTAGTAACGACAGCAAGAGGCTGGATGAATGGCGTCGAAACCCAAAGTCTTCGTTTGCCCCGTTACTTCGTCACCACTGTATGGTCGTGTTGGGTACCGCTGCTTTTGCCTGGAAGGCTGGTGCTTTTCTGGTACACTCTGTCTAATATCATTACTATGGTGGACTTACTATATCAGCTGTGACGTAGGTTACGGTGGGTGAAAGCAATAAGCACAATGAGAAACACAACAGCAGGAGCAGCAGCATTATTTGGAGTGTTATTATTACTATTACAAATAGAATTTTATATTTTTAAATGAGCACATTTATGCTCCAGTAGGTTGGCTCAGTACATTAGCGAGTATAACTTCTACCCGTATATAATGCAAACCGGGTTAACTTACCCGTACTTACCTAACTGGGTTAGGAAGAATAGAAGTCGGCTATTTTAATTGGCCGATACGTTTTCTAGTCACCGCCGTGTTTAATTTGTCGTTTGGTGCAGGAGCGTTGTTGCCTGTTCCAAGCAAGGACCTATAAGGATCTACAATGACCCATTGTAAAAAGTATATGAACGTAAAACGTTTAACTACTTTTCACGTAATCAAAATTTTTCTAAGATGTTTGTAAATAATTGTTTTCCTTAAGCTTGATTTTTTTAGGAAATTTATTCGTGGCTAAATTTGTACTAAGCACGTCGGTCGTTAGGCGTTATCGTGTATGTCTAGATTCGCATGGGCCTAAAGAACTCGATAAGGACACAGTCACTTATTGGATGGTTACTGCGCTGAGCTAAGAATATAAAATATAACGCTTTATTAACATTTTGGGAAAAAGATTTCCATTTTTTTAAATAATTGTTTGGTGGTGCTACATCGGTATCTATGTTGAATACCGCCTCTTTCAGGCTTTAAATTACGAGCACATAGACGATTGAAAAAAGTTCGCTCAGGCGTCCAGAGAAGTCGCATAGTGCAGTAGGCAAAAACAGGCCTACCTACACACTTTGTCACATGGTTAAGCCCGGAAATTAAACTATATAGGTAGGTCTCCTGAAAATGGGAACATATACGGAAGACCAATGGGACGGCACGGAAGATCAATTTACAATTTTTCTCATGTTTACCCCACTTTTATTCGTTCTCCGGAACCACAAGATGTATAAGTAAAAAAAAATGTACATATCAGAACTCGATCATAGGTTTGCACCAGGTCATGCGTTCCCTTTAAACTAGCCGTACACAATCTTCGGCTGGCTTTGTTCTACGGAGACTTTGTGAAGAAATAATTGTTTTTTTTAATTATAATTGTGTTTTTTAAGGAGTTTGCTTAATTTAGCTTTGTTGAACTTCCTATGTGGTAAGCTATGATTCGCTCACTGATTGACTTCCCATTTCCTATTTATTATAGATTTTATTTTAGCACATACGAGCTGTTTCAGTACTCCTTTGCAGTTAATTTACCTTTGATTAGTGCAAAATCCATTTTTCGTTGCTTGCTGGCTCTGGACTAGGCTTTTCGTTTAATAAACCACCTATAGAGGTGTTCCCATTTTTTCGATTTTTAGGAAACGGTCCTCTGTTAGAAATGCCGCTCTGTGTTTTGCCACTCGCCTCCGTCTCCAATCGAATGTTCTTATAGCAGTTTCTCTGAATCAGTGTATTGTTAATTTGTCCTCTTGTTGCCTGTATTAAAAAAATGTACGACACACGAACCGAAACTAAGCGCTGTAGTGGTCCTGGTCATCTACAATTGTCGCCTTTGACCTGTTTATGAAAGCGCGCTTTTGCAGTTGTGGGAGCATCTCTATGCAAAGTAAAACGCCAGAATCTTCGTATCAGTTCATTGAATAACACTAAGAGGCGCGGATCATTTCGGTGTACGCCTACCGATATCGGTCAATTGATGTGCATAACTATTGCTAAAGCAGTTGTGCTCAGAGCCCAAAACGCAAAATACGTTATCAGTAGACAAGTTACTCTTTTTTGTATACGTACCATATAGAAATTTTACTAGTTCTAAGGTGGGCTGTGCTGTTTTCGTAATGCCTATGCCACTTTTTTCACTGGTTTAGGATGAACCGATAGACAGGGCGATAATAGACTTGTTTTCAGGCTGGGATTCGGTACCATATGCGTACCGTATGAAAACTCGAAAGCGTATACTTAACAGGATATGCATAAGCCAAGGATAGGTTGACAAACGCTTGGTGCTATGTATGTTATACCTAGATAAAATATTCGTTGCAATAGCACTGCGCCAGAGGACATGCTAGAAGCACCACCATCAAAAGCGCAAGGCAGTCAATATCACATCGTGTTTCGCCCCATGGAAACGAGTTAAAATTCATGGACCGTTAATAAACCGTTCAGTAAAATCCATTGTGTAAAATAAATTCGTGCTTAATGGTAAACAGAAGATTTCCGCAGATTGCCATCAACGATAATTCCTATGACCAGAAAGTTTCGCAAATATCGATTGAGACAATGTATGCATTGTACTCAGTTTCCCAGTAGAAAAATGCTACATCCTCAAGAGATCGCCGCAATATGACGAGCCCTTGGTTTTTCAAATTTTGTGAAAACGAAGTCTTTGAAGAAATCGCTTCATCCGGCTGTTTACGGCTATCGAACAGATTCGTTTCGCAAGTCCCGTCCATGGGATATTACCATAATTAGGACCCAATATATTCCTCTTGTAGAACAGCGGCACGAGTGTTAAGCGGAGCAACGTACGGAACTTTTATATCCGATTTGGGCCTAATGATTTGCAATATGTATCTAGTGTCTGTAATGTGAAGTTGAGGGGCAACTTTCCGGTTAAGAACGAAGCATTCCTCTGAAACATACTTTTTCACAGAGTTATTTCATACCAGTCCTTCTTCATTGCTGGGTGCTTTTAAGTGCATTCGTATCAAGCTTAATGAATCTACCTCTTCGAAAAATGTGCCGCGGAAAATTTCGGGGCAGCGTGACGCGGGCAAACACACAAACCAGAGAAATGAATAACTAAGTTCTTAGTGTCGCGTCATGCAGTTTGCGATATTACGTAGCGCCGTTCGGGCAATAGGAGGATCAATACAGCATAAAATGGAAGGCAGCAGCAGCAGCGACAATTCTAGCTGGCATTTTGGTTAAAGTTTTATTCATTGCAGACAGGTTATCGCTGAAGTGCGCCAACGAAAAGTAAAAACTGATGATGTCTCCATTTACGCGATTGGTCGCGATACATCGTGCGCTGGCTGTTACTCCCTGGAACGTTGGGAATGGTATTCGCTTCTTCAGATGGACAGCAACCGGCAAGGAAGTCACTGATGAGGAAGTGGTAAAGCTAATCACGAGTCGGGAGTTCATGGGTAAGATGAGCAGAATTCTACCCGGCTCCGAAAAGATTCGTGTGACGTCGGCGGGCCTCGAGGCGGATTTTGAAAATAAATACCCTAACACCATGTATGAAGCTTTGAAATATGCGTCCGAACGGAACACGGCCAATCGAAATATTTGCGGCTGGGTCAATCAGAGGACAAACGCAATCGAGTTTTTGACCTATGACCAATTCTTTGATGAGGCAAAACAGATTAGCATGGCTTTGCGCGAGCTAGGAATACAACCGAAGGATTTTGTTGCGGTTAACTTTGTCAATTCGAAAGACTATCTCGAGATGATGTATGGCGTAACCTCGATGAGCATGATACTTCAGCCCATATATCCGAACCTGGATGCCAGTGCTATCCGAAAAATTCTGAAACAATCTCAGTCGAAAATATATGTCGTCGATACCGAAGCCAAGGCACGCGTAGTTGTCGAACGTGCCCATCAGATGCCCGTAAAGATACTAGTCGTTGCGGGTTACGAGCCCAGCAAAGACCTACGAAATGATGCGCGATCTGTAAGCGTTCAGCTTCTTAGTCTGAGTGACTTTATGAAACTCGGGGAAAATAAAAGATATTTGTTTGCGTTACCCAAATCTGCAGATACCTTTTCCTTGTTCTATACGTCAGGCACTACCGGTGATCCTAAAGGCGCGATTGTCACCCATGGCCGATTGCTTCAAATGTACCACACGGTCAGTAGATTGCTAAAGGTTAGCCCACGTTACCCCGGTGACTACACATTTTGCTTCTTACCCACAGGCCACATATACGAGACGTTGTTTGGATTATTGTGCTTGGCAGACGGAGGAACCGCCATGTTCTGGAGTGGCAGTATTAAACATTTGATAAGTGATCTTAGACGTATCAAGCCGCACCACATTCCCATGGTGCCACGTATCATGAATCGAATCTACGACGAAGTCTATAGTGAGCTCACGAAGAATTTTTTCAAACGTATAGTGTTTATGTATTGTTACCAAAGAAAGAAGCGACTCATATCGAGTAATAAATATAGTCCGATTTGCCACGATACGATCTACGACAGACTTGCATTTCGGAGGGTCCGTGAAATTCTAGGTGGAAGAATATCAACGATCGTAAGCGCTTCAGCCCCTCTTAATCCAAAAGTGTTGGAGTTTTTCAAGGTGACAGTGGGGTGTGCTGTCATAGAAGTGTTCGGTAGTACAGAAGCGATGGTCGTAACCGCGACGAGTCCATACGATTCAACCGGAGGACACACTGGAGGGCCAGTGCCTTCGGTTAAGATCAAACTTGTCGATGTGCCCGAACTAGACTATTATGCCAAGGATGACGTTGGTGAAATATATGTGAAGTCACCATTTGGATTTGAAGGCTACTATAATGACGAGGCTGCAACCAAAGAAACGATACGTAACGGATGGATCGCGACGGGTGACGTGGGTAAATGGAACGCTGAGGGGAAGTTACAAATATTCGACCGCCGAAACGATATATTTAAACTGGCGCAAGGGGAATATATCATTCCAGAGAAAATTGAGAGCATTTACGGTCGTGTCCAAATTTTCGAGGACGTCTTCATCGACGGACGCTCTGACCAGAACTTCTGCGTTGCTGTTGCTGTTCCAAACCAGGCCCTGTTCATGAAGTGGGCCAAAGCAAAGAATTTTACACACGAGTTTGAACCTGTATTTATGGAACTATGCCATGATATTCAAGTACGAAAGGCCTGTCTTGAGGAGCTACGTCGGGCCGGAATGGCGCAAGGCCTCAATGAGCTACAACAGATTCAAAATATCTATCTTGAAGCAATTCCCTTTTCTGTTGCCAGCGGTATACTTACATCAACATACAAAGTGAAGCGAAACTTTGCACGAAAGAAGTATGCGCAAACAATAGACGAATTGTACCGGGAAGGCTCGCTGATCAATGGTAAACCTTGACGGTTTACCTCGGTACGATTGTTTCAGTTAAGCTGATACGTGCAAGATGGCGTACCAACATGGCGTGTATGCGACCCAGGTGATATAGGAATGGTCGCAATATCTGACAGCACTAGTAAATCTTGCTTCTGAATCATTCCCTTTGCAAAAACAGAGCTACCGAGAACGAGTGAAATATTAGCTAGCATCGAGTTCACCTATACTAATATATAAAGCAACCCATATCTGGGTTATTATTCATCAGTGAGAAGTTTTTAGGGGCTGATCTTTATTCATCCAGTTTACCACTAATGACTAAGTGAATGAAAATACCACTGAACCGGCACTCAACAATTGAGTGCCGGTTACATCTCTGATTTAGTCTCAGAAGTGAACGACGGAGTAGATCAGCTCGTTAGATATAAACGCGATTTTGCCGCGCAGTTTGGCTTGACTCTAAGTGCAATAAACATTCGCGGCCAGAATAACATACAACCGGTTCGCTTTCGAAGGAGACAGCGCCATCACCGACCCCTCGACGGACGGAAAGGGACGCTTCACAGACACTGTATTGTTTATTCTAAGGAACTTGTCAACAAGAATATAGAAAAAATATCGCTTTATCGACCCCTACTATTTGAGTTACTAGAAACGTTAATGCAAAAAGATAGCGTAGCAGATGTATATGATGCATAGCAGATGTATACTATATATGAGCTATCTATCCAATGCTAAGCACCCCGAGTTGATGGAGAGCAAATATACCATCGCTTCTTGCAGATGCTCCACGTACAGATAATCATACCATTTATCTATTAGTATCTAAACATCGTTTACCTGAATTTATTCTTCATTCAGTCAGCTGTTTTGGTGATTAGTTCGAAATAGGGTGCAGTTACATGGACTGCCCTTGCACGCGCGGACCAAAACGCTATATTTGTTCGATTATTTCACCCTTTGGTGACTAACGCAAGCACGTCTCCCTAAATGTACGTGTTTGTACGTACGGACCAGTTGTGGTGGGTTACGCGACAACGCTTTTAGGGCTTAATCATTTGCTAGATTTTTTTTGCCTTGACAGCTAATCAGTGATGCTGCAATGATCGGCATGTGAGTATAAAATCTCTACATAAACGAAAGAGTTTATAGCCATTTATTATTCAGCACTACCAGTGTCAGTTAGTATGTTAGGTCTGGAGCTTGAAACACTCGACGTATCGGCGCTATTACTCTTTAGACTGAAATGTCTCGCGGTCTTCGCGATGATACCACAAAGACGAAAAGACACAAAATTTTACATTGTAATTTATCAGAAAAAGCTGCTGTACAAATAGACCCAACCCATTAGCCACTTCATGTCACTGTTGCTAACCAAAAACATGTGGCAGTCACACAAATAATGTCTTTCTTGTTAATTTACTATTTTACAATAAGATATAACTCGTACATCGTCTTTGATATCCCCAAGTATTTCGACCGAAATCAGTCTGATTCGGTAACGTGGCATCGCCGCAGAGCAAAATCCGAACTCGCAAGAGATCCTGATAGACGCTGATAAATTTGCACAAGCGATTGTTAAGATGTAAAATATACTTACTACAGTCTAAGTTGTGGACCTTGTCCACGATAACTTATTCGTTTAGCAGCCGTCAAATTACGTTAGGAGGAATACATTTGATTTTGTTTGTGATTATTTATATTTACGATATATATAGTAGTCAAAAGGACGACTCTTTTCCGCTTGCTAGGAAATCCTGCCAAGTAATCGATAATTAGCGTCTACGTTGACCTCGTCGATACTACTGTCAGTAACGTTCCTATTCTTTACGGATAACTAAATGGTCCTGGCAGTCTAATAGTCTGAAAACGATCTATACTGTAGACTATATAAGATATGCGCTCTAATCACCGGTGAAGATATGACCCCGTTCTCCATTACTAATATTCGATTTAGCTTACGCTGAATGGCGAGATTTGCATATTGATAACGCCGTATCATGACGCCCATTGGATAGCGAAACCGTATTGTGAGTCCTATTGGTTAAATCCTACTGCTAAATGTCCTGAAACGATCCTTCATTTTATTTATCAACCATTCCTATCACTACAATTACATAAACAGTGTTATCTCGAACGGGTCGGATCGGAATTGCCACAAAGAAATAGAGAATATTTTAGCCTGAGTAAGATCGTTGAAGCAGATGAATCTATGGATCTAAAGGAGATGGAGGTATCTATCTTAGGGTAACGGTCGTATTGTCTTACTTCTAGTAGGAGGAGATTTTAACTCTAACAAAAACGCCACCCGCGGGTTCTGCCCTGTGCCTTTTTGCTATTACTCTTAGTTCTACCCGTATTGAGATAGAAGGCTAATCGTACCTGCAATAAAGATTTTGGTGACGAATTGTCTTAACCTAATCGTCCTTTTTCTTACCAATGAACAAAGCTTCCATGTAGGACACAGTTTTCGTGAAAGTATACATGCCTACATTTGATATCGGCGCGGACGGTACTGATGCCCGTCGTGATCTTTTTAGACGGCGGCGCGCCACCGTTCCCAAAGACGAAATAAGAAAGTAGTTGATGGCCTCGTTTTGCGCCCAATTAAATTAGCATTATGATCTACGAAAAAAAGCGAACTTTCCGCGTAGATTTCTCAGGCAGTAACTCAAGCAGCCTGAAAAATCTTCAGATTCGCGCTGGATTCAAGCAAAAAGGTAGAGTAGCGAGACAGACCGCTAGTGCAATTGATAGTAATCAATACAACCGGAACTTGCACAAAACAGTTTACTTTTAAAGGCAGAGAAGTTAATTAACTGGTGCTAGGTGCCTGGTTTATTGTTGCTATAGTTAGCCAACAGCAACGGGTTTGCCAAAGGCGCGGCCGTACACGTTTCCGTGGGTCTCGCCTCGTAAAAAAGATCTCGCGTGAAAAAAAGTAACAAAGATAGTACCGACCCGCAGATTCTCGCGCTTTTACGAGAGGTCACCCACATAGGTGTATCAGTTTCTAGTCATAAAAACTGTCAAAAATAGAAATATTCCATTTATTCACGCCATATCCGATACGTGAAGTGGCCAACTAGTATACTGAGTTGACCATCTTGAGATAGCGATTGACGACGAACTTTGGTATTGCTAACTACGGCTAGCATTGACACTTTGATACGGCCAAAATGTCCAGAGCTACCAGAGCAATATATGTTTTTACGTGTACATGAGTATGTTTTGTGGTCGACGGGTTTTTACGCTTAAAGTCACCTACACTCGCAGCAACTGTTCAACAATTTCAGACTTTCCAGCGTGGGAAAAAGTTTCTTCGGCGATTATTAGGTGTATTTACACCTTCTAATGAATACCCTCATGGAGAAAGCTAAGGCGCCCTGTGCAGTAAACAAGAATTTGCCTGGACACTCGTTGGGTTCACGAGATTTATGAGACAACTTATGCTAAATTGCGTTCATTACGGTAGATAGTGTCCTAGGTTCCGCACATTGTCATCTGACTACGTCAAACCCGACCTATATGACCCGAATAGTCGGTAAATGCGAAATTGTTCGAAATTGAGTGGAGATGCTAAATCTTCGGCAGGTGGCGGGCATGTTCAATGATTGTTTAAACCTTAGGTTGTGTATGCATAGAATGAAATCGTAAAAAATAAAACTGGTCTTGGAGAATCCCAGAGTTTGACACAGGGTAACTACCAAAACATTCAATACTACGGCATTAGAACGAAGACGAACACTGTTCTGCTGCCTTAAACGCGAATCACACTATGGGCATCCTTGGACATTCTCAAGTCACCTGGGTCCGTTAATTCCTGCCCTGAAAACTAGCTAAACAACATCTACAGTAACGCAGAATGAAACCCTACAAAAAGATGTGCCATTGCCGTCATCAGCGGCTTTGAAGATGTCTATATATATATATATAGATTAGTGGGCCTCCCACGAATTTCGCTTGGAAACGGACAAAACCTTTGTTAGTCTCAGTAGAAAGTGGTCCGCTCGATTTCTAACAACCAGACCTGTCTCGCAAGCCTCCTGTTTGCTGCCCGTATTGCTGGTGCCAATCTAGTTGCTCTTCACGTATCTAATTCGGATCCATGATAAAAACATATCGCTTGCTTCTCGTCAGTTCTGGCTTATTCGGGCAGTCGTTGCCTTTGTTTACCCTTGTTCGTTATACTTGTACATTGGTAAATGTCTCCAAGCAATTTTGATCGCTCTTCAAGCGTTACAGCTGCCATTAACTCAAGTGGCTCAGAAAGCACTTTCAATTAGGAAATAACATCGAGTGCAGTTTGCCGTGACGACGCTGACGATATCAGCCACTCGACCGCTCTGTCCTTAACACTACCGACTACACGTTTACGTGCCTAGAGGCTCCAAAGACAATATGGCATGTCGTAGTGATAACACTCATAAATCATAATCTGTAAAGGATCCCACCCTCAATCCCATCTCGTTCCATTATTTGATATTAAGTACTTATTAAGTAAATGAAGTCGCTGTTCGTTTATCACCATTGTTAGCGGACATGTACCCTACTCTTTTCAAACGCCACCTCGTTCCGATGTTCTACGAATTCTTTTATTTATGCATGGTAATATCCTTTAGCATGGCATTACTTTGACCAATACAGTAGAGCAATTTTCTTCGAAATTTTGCGATAAGGATTACATCGCCACAAAGTGAGCGCCACCTTTCATAAAGAGATCCCACCGTGTACGCCATTTGCAAGCGCTTAATCTCAATATCTATTCCCTTTACGTTCCTATAAAAGTACGGATACCAGCCTTTGTTTTTCGACGGAGCCCCGTAACTGGGTCCTAGCTCTTCTCGTGAATATGAGACGGATCTGTTTTTCTACAAACGGCGCTTCTCAGCAGAAATAACACGACGAGTAACAGATCACTGGACGACCTGCCTGAATGCCCCAGCCTTACAAGCCTCTCTTCGGCTTCTGGGCTTATTTATGAGTCGAGATGGGTACACGCTATGCCACCCGGCCGTCGAAATTGATCTCAAGCCCATGATTATATCACCAGGCGAACTGGATAAGAACAGAATGTCCACGAAAGCGTTGGACTTCTCATGTCTGAACGCGGTATTGAAATGCCTAAACGACGGCTATGGCGAACACATCGATGCTATATGTAAGGTGAAGATCGAGCAATTACTTTTCGCATTTTCAATTTCCTCAAACTCGAACATACAAATCGCGCAAACTGCCAAAGGCACAAAAATTCCGCACAACTGAGTGAAGCCCAAACTTGATCCCATCAGTCTATTGGACAGAATAAGCCATACCCCGAAAATGTAATCAAATAAATTATCCAGCAGCAGGACCTAATTGAAAAATGGAAATTATCAAGTAAGTAAATAAATCGCGATAGGAGTGCATTTGCAGCAGGATGCTTCGATAGTTAGACAACCCCGTAGAATGGCAAGGATACGGAAGCAATATTTAAGAGATTATTATAGGCTGTGTAAACATTTTTCGAGACACTCTATGTATATATATATATATTATAAGTGAAAGTCGGCGGAATGCAACAAAGTCTTAAAGTAAAAATATTATTCACTGCCTGTACCTATGTACAGTGCACTGAGATTCTCTTTTTTAGCTAGACGAGAGAGCAATGGAAAACGTTACGAAGTGCAACATAAATCACTTTTTTTCAGTTTCTGATGCTGATTTTTCTAGTAAAAAAAAAAAAAACAAAAAAAAAAAAAAAAAGATATAGACAAACTTGGTCGATAGTTGTGCTACCCTATGAATGAGCATACAGAAGAAAAAGCTTCCCTAAATACAATCTAAATTTTGAATATCTTCATTTAGCCTGCTACTTATTAGCCAGTCGACACAGTCGAAAAGCTTCATACAACAGCTGAGAAGACGAAAAATACAACGAAAAACTATCTTCTGGAATCTAATTAATAGTTGGACGCTTGTGGATTCCTTCTCATAATGTACAGCGAGTTTTGCAAGTAAGACATTTTTGAACCGCCCACGTCTGGAAGCACTATTTTAACTGTTACCGTTCCCGTGGCTTCTTATGAGGAATAAAATCGAAGCGCGGACTCTAATTATGACTATCGTTCACAGACGTGTGTAATCGCTATTAAGCCAGTGAACAAAAAGACGCAGCTCGACGAAAGAAGATAGTGACCAACTTTCAGATTCAGCGACCATTCGTCACCCGATGGTCACCCGACAGCTCTTCGTAGTAAAGTAGCATAGCCCGCGTCTGCTCGCGTCGGACGTTTTAAGCGTCGACACCGACGATCAGACTGTTACTATTGTACGAATGACTTTAGCGGTAACAATTCCGTGCAGCAGAAATAAGTCTAGCAATAAGATAGAGTCGCCATGTAAATGCATTGCGTGTACTCTAGAAAAGTTGAACAGGTGAACTTCATTGAATTTTACTTGAAATAAGAAAGAAAGCAGTCATCTCTTTCGCCAGTATCGATAGTAGGTGGCCGCTACTTCTTAACAGAAGTTTCAGCTGCAGCTGTATTTTCGACGTAACGATTGAAAATACGCGCTGGATCATTGTACCTATCTGAAGCATTGAACGTAGCTTGAAATGAGAAATGCCTCCATAGCACAAACGTAAGATTGTGAACGTTGTTCCAATGGCTGTCCTTTGAATCTTTTCAGCGTGACAGTTAACTGCCGAACAAAACAATGATGACTGAGTTAAGAATGACAGCTATGGCTCTTGCTACTTGGGGCAGGGGAAACGTTTTTACGTTGTAACACCTAAGATAGATGAGATAATAGACACGAAATAATGTCAAACCTTGTGTCTCTGGCGGCCGACACGGTGGGGACCAGTAGACTTCTGCATTTAAAAATGAAAAATTATTTCTGCAATTACCCTGCATTTAGCAGTGGGTCAATAAAGATCTGTCTTTAGTTATATCGAACAGAACTGGTTTCCAGAAATAGACTTAAAAGCAACGAGGCCCATTTTTCTGTCATGACGCTAAAATATTTCGAAGCCACGCTCCATACTTGGAACTAAACAGCTTGGAAAAAAGCAACTCTAAAAGCTTCTTCACAATTTTCAAATTAAGGACGAATATTTTCCAAGATAGTCATATATCTTGCCAACGTCGGCAGGCGTAAGTATTCTAACAAATAACTGTGTCCCAGTATAATAATTAAGACGTTGGTCTTTAGGGTGACGTTTAGCGGTATGAAGATAGCGAAAATTCGGCTGTTATCCTCTAATTTGCCGCTCTGTTTCTTATACTACCCGAAGATTACCCATTTTGGAATGAACGTTTCGCCTAACGCTAAGAGCTTCGTCTTCTAAACTGCTCAGTGAATATGGTTATTCAAGCTACACCAGTGCGTCTGCTGTGTTCATAAAGAAATGAAACACGTTGTTTCGTTCGGACCCTTTATAAAAACGTTATCCACAGCCAAACGGAATTACAAAAATGGTGATGATAGGTCATTATAATTTCGGCGCCAGAAAGACGGTGAAGAACCCCGAGCGAGGTCCTCTTCATTGGAGTACACTGTTTCATGCTACCGCAGACCAGCCAACGTCAACGAAGCTCAGAAAAGTTGACCAGCTAAGTGACCTTGTTTATATTCAATTATCAAAAAATTGCAAGTGTCCTCTGTCTGAAATTAACATCTCGACACAGCAGCCATTTGTTTTTGATGAAAATCTAAGCTATTTAACCTTAAAATTTAAATGTGAACACTTAATAGAAACGATATCTACCATTACCAATAAGTTCAATAGCCTATAATATTAGTCTCTGCGCTTTGGATGCTTCTTGCCACCCATCGCTGGACGAAATGTTTATTTACAGTTAATCCGTTTTACACTCTACACATTTTTTTGTACATTTTACATCGGCTTTGCGTTTGCTTGAAGACACTTTTCATATTCCGAGTGTGTCGTTCGTCTGCTGTTATATGTTCTACGTTATCCAGCCCTTTGTGCTGGAAAGGTCCTTCTATACAACATAATAAACATACATATAGGCAACTTTTCTTTTATAGATACTCAAACTATAAAAATCTCCGTCAATGAAAACCCGCACTTGTTCTAGAATTGGGTTTTACTTCGGTGGTCATGTCAGAAAGCTGTATATAGTTGAACTTGCTTCAAGCTGCCTGCACCACGGTGTTATGTCTCTAGGGCTACTATGGTGAGTCACATTGGATCATTTTATAGTATCATACGCATCGATATCATACAGTAGAACTTTTACACGTGGAAAATAAATGGTGGAATTACTCGATTATAGAATTAAAGCTCTGTAAAGAGAGGGGACATACCAACTATTAACATGAACAAGACTGGACTGAGACTTCGGCTATTACCAGTCAATCCGTGTTCATACAGTTGCCAGCTTTTAAGTAACTGATGTCGGCCTCTATTAATGGATCCGTTTCGATATCGATTATCACAGATATTACACAACTCTTAGTAAGTACATCTATTCTATCTGTCGTACCTTTCAAACATCTATAGTATAATATTGGATTTACTTTATTTATTTTATGTACTGTACATATGCTCACTTATATTAGACAAGAAAGCTGCTCATTTAAAATAGCCCCCGGCTTTGGCAAATTAGGGAGAAACTGATCAGCTTCGTCACAGCCGTTTGGTTTCACTTGGTCCTAATAAATGGCAAGATACTTATGTGTACGCCTATGTATAGATACGCCTTTCCCCCCTCTGAGTACTGCTCGTTAATTGTGGAAAAATTTTATCAGCGATATTTGACAATGTTCTGTGTTGTTCTGCGACGACTTGACCCTAGCAGCGGACTTGATTAGACGGTCCGTGTAAATGACTTTCTTATAATTTCATCGGTCTACTGTGGATCGATGATCTATAGGCGCGTTCACAAACAAGCGTCTCTTTGTGTAGCTATTGAAGGCATCTTTGCTAATGTTCGCTATCAAATAGGCATGCCTACCGATGCTATATCGGGGCATAATGGATTCCGCTCGCGCGCTTTGGGTAGCGCGTAACGAAGCTTGTTCCAGAAGTCTTTTTCGCCCCATTGCAGGAATGTGCTGTGCTTGATCCAGGTCCGAATGTTAAAGTCCAGCTCACTATGGCACATTCGACCCACGAATATTATGATGATTTTTTGGGGATTGTTGTGCAGAGCGTCACAATGTGCTAGCTTGAATTCGTAACCGCACCAGTCGTTCTTGAGGAAGCTTTCCGATATTACAATTATCGTTTTTCGAGAACTTTCAACTGCCTCGCGGATGGCCTCACTTAAATACTGTCCTGTCATTGGCAGGTCACGGTGATGTAAACACAGGCGGTAAATGGGTTTGCCTAATTCCAGTCGGGAGGCAAGTTTTTCAGCCACAAAATCTTCATCTGATTTGCTGTACGACACGAACACGTCAAATAGTTTTTCCTCTTCGATTGATGGATGACAGAACATACGAATTCCGCATCGACTGCGTAACCCTACCCCTGATTGATTGCGGCACGTCAAAACAGTTACGAGCACGGCTGCTAGCAGTAGAGGAACAATGATGAGGATATAGGTCGATAACAGCGAGTCGCCAAAAGGGAGAAACCGAACTTGCCTTGCCAACGATGTTGCTTTGGATAGGCTGTGACAATCAGTTACGTTGAGCTCCCATAGCCGAAGCGCTATCGTCTCATTATACACACAGGACATATCAGCTATGTCACTCACAGTGTCACCTCTCTCACGAATATAAATGGCAAGTGGGTTCGTAAAATCACAACTACACGTCCAGGGATTTAGGGCTAGGCGGAGATCGATAAGGTGCTCAGTGCGTCGGAGGGACCAGATCGGTAGCATGACTAAGTAATTTCGGTCAAGATGGAGGATCTCAAGGCTCCTCAGCTGTGCGAATGTGACGTTGTTCACGTACTTCAGCTGATTATTGGATAGATAAAGCTCACGTAGATTTGAGAGATTCGTGAATTCCTGACCACGTAATGCCGCTATTTGGTTATCTTCTAGATGTAGCACCCGCAGTTTATGTAGGCTAGCAAACGTTCTCGGCTCAATTACAACAATATTAGATTGATTAGCTAAAATCACTTGAATATTGTCCCGATGAATAAATGCGAGCGGCGTCAATGTATCGATGCTATTTCCGTCGAAGTGAAGCTCAGTCGCGGCGAACGGTAGTTGTTTAGGAACGGCGGAGTGTTTGCCCGAACCGCAGTCGACAATATTGGTAGTCCACGACAGGTCGTGGTAACAGGTACAATTCTGCGGACAAATTATTTCACAGGCGCAACTTTCAAATTCGCAGCAATGGCACGAAGGCACACAGCGACGTTTGTACGTACACAGAAATTCTGACGGTTTTAAACTGACTAGAGGTTGAACGTAAGCGCTTTTCCCGAAACCCGCTTTACACTTAACGTTTTCTATGTCGATAATTCGCGGAAACTGACGTATCTCCTTAGCTGAAAACCTTGAAGGAACTTGCAGCTTTTGAATCCAGTCCATATGGCAATCGCAGAGATACGGGTTGTTGGAAATAGCGAACTCCGGCAAAGGCCGGTGCGTAGGAACCTCACTTACTTGCAGCATAGCCATCTCGACGCCTGGAAGAAGATTGTTCGTCAGATCTACTCGAGTCAGGTTATGCTTTCCTAAAAACGCGAATGATTGAATTCGTGTGATGCTGTTGTTGTTTAGGAATAGAACTTCAATGTCGTTAGGTATAGAAGATGTATCGATATCGGTAAGTCGATTGGATGAAGCATCGAGTGTGCGTAGCTTTACGTTCTGTACGAGCTCAAAATAGTTTCCAAGTGCTTCTATCTGATTGTCGTGGATATCCAGCCATTGAAGTCCAGTTGGAATTAATGCGTAATCAAACCAGCGCAGTCGGTTTGCGGATATATTGAGCATAATCATATCATGTAGGCTGTTAAATAGGCCGTTTGTATCCTCAATCTCGTTGGAATCGAGACGAAGAAAATGAAGTCCAGAAATGGCGTTAAACGTATCCTGTTCAATATTTCGAATACGATTCCGTGCTAGGTTAAGGTTACGCACCGTCGCTATATTATAAAAACTACGTCGATTGATGCTCCTAATTCTGTTGGCCATTAGGTTGAGCGCGTGGAGATGGCCTAAACCTTGATACGGTGCATCTGTTACATCTACGATTTCATTTTCCGACAGATCAAGCGAATGCAGTCGTTTAAGTGATGAGACAGCTCTAGGAACCTCTTCTAGGTTGTTGCCGGACAAGTTGAGTTCCTGGATAATGGAGTTATTCTTAAAGGCGTAATCGTCTATTTCTTTGAGGCGATTATTTTCCAGATGTAACACAGCGATGGCTGTGAGTCCCATAAATAAATCAGCGCTAACCGTTTTAAGACGATTGAAGCCTAACATTAGGGCGTGTAGATTTTCAAGTTTGCTAAATGTGCTATCTTCGATGAAGTCTATCAGATTATTCTGCAGGAGCAAAGTTTGAATATTGATGACGGAGCGAAACGCGTTAGAATGGATCCGTGTAAGACGGTTATAGTTAAGATCCAGATGAGTCAGGCTCGAAGGAGCCTCTGATTCAAGCCATTCCAATGATGAGAGCTGATTATGAGCAAGGTCAAGCACTGTGATTTCCCTAAGTCTAGCTAACAATCCGGGCGGGAGTGCACTGAGCGAATTGTTGCGCAAATATAACTTCGATATACGTGGCGTCGACTGAAATAGAGAGCTTGGTAACGCCACCAATTGGTTGTGTGCCAAATCGAGATACTTTATATAAACTAAGCCGAAAAAAGCGCTAAACTCAACCCTAATAATTTGATTATAGCTTAAATATAATTCCCTGAGATTGGTCAGAGCAACAAAGCTGTGCTCTGATAAAATTCGAAGGTTATTGTGCGTCATGTCCAAAACTTCAACGCCGAGACTACATTGGCCTTTCGAGTGAGAAAATCCGGTACTAGCTACGCTAATGAACCTGTTCCTCGTGAGATTCAGAAATCGCAGTTGGTCCATGCCACACAATAATTCTTCAGGTAACTCCTCGATACTGTTTTCACTAAGATCTATGCATTCGATTTTTTCGAGGGGTTTAAGGCTCGCAGGCGACAGGCGCAGTGACCAATTATCCGCCGGTGAATTAAATGTCTTTATCGTAAGGTTCTTTAAATTCGAGAGACCGACGAACGCTTCTGAAGGTAACGACTCCAACTTGCACCTTTCGATATTAAGAACTTGTAAATGGCGCAGATGTTTAAATGAACTGTTCACCATCTCGCCTTTGAGCAAATCGTCATCGCACTTAACGGTAAGTTTTACCATTAGGCGAGGCATGATCAGTGAAAAATTTGTCGGATTTGATCCGCCCTGCAACGTACACACGTTGCAGGTCATTGAAATATCTTTTGTTTCAGGCATTACCTTCCAAGAACAGTCTTCAGGGCTGATATAAGCCGTGTTCGCAGACGCAACAATTATAGCCCAGAACTGGCAGTATAACATCGCCAGCCTGATGCTCCGAACGCTTGTAGAACTCATGTCGCAACACAGATTACTTCACGCACAGACAATGAAACGAAATCCGTATCTGAAAACGAACGTAGTTTTTCAGACGATATTCATCCGGTGATCTTAATGTTCATGTTACATCCTGTCGCGTCGAAGGCTTTATTTTGCTCTGTCGAATCATGTCATACTTCTCTTTTAAGGAGTTAAAATTTCGAACAAATCACCTTGAGAGATCATCATTTTCTCATAGTTTCAACAACTTGATACGACTGTCTGAGTTTTTTCCGGTAACTTTTCGCCTCTCCTGTGAGAGTAACGTTACTGAAACAGAAACTGAACGACAAAGCAACGCTCAAAATCCCCCCAGCCCTCTCCCTTCGGATGGCGCCCAAAATAGGGAAAGAGCTCACACCACCCACCGTCCGTCAGGGAGAGGGTGATAAGCTACCCGCTGTTTGAGAGGTGAAAGGATAGAACGATTCGACACTGGGAAGTTTTAACCACTCTTTGCTATAAGTAGCTTTCTTTTTTTAGTTAGCTGAAGCTGGCAGTTTAAATAAGGAAAAAAATCTATTTAGTCATCAATGCAAGGAGACTAATTGATCAGATCGTAAATGTTTTAATGTAATAAAATGAAATATGGATATCCTTTGTACCTTACACAAACGACCCAGAAGTCTCTTTTTCATCGCACATTGGCTTCAGCCGCGAAGTATCCACCGGACCCCTCAAGGGAGAGAGAAACAGATAGGTAGATAAATAGACAGATGAAAAAGTGAGAGAGAGCGAGCGAGCGAGAGAGAGAGTGTCGTGTGATGCGGGTTGGATGCGAAGAGAGCAAAATGTTTATTCTTTTATTTATTTAGCTCGTGTATGACGCTCGTTTTGTTGTAGGTTACAACTGTTTTTTCTTCATCTAGTTTTTTGCCTAGCTTCGACGAATCAAAGCCGCCTACAGACTGTTCTTGTAGCAGAAACCGCGAAATGCGTACGGATCTTCTGTAGAAATCGACGATTATCGCTTCGCGATAACGTTGCATCAGATCGGGAGATATTAGGAGGACTTCGCCATCGATTATCGATGAAAGCCCTAGTGTTATCGCTGCAGGATTAATAGATGCGTCTACGCTTGTGAATTTTTGTTATTTCATCTTCTATTGAGGTAGTTCTATCCTTTGTTCTTTCTGTTCCACCGAAAAGCAGCTCTGTATCCATGGAATCGTCACCGCCTTACCGGCCTGACGCATTTCCGCGGCCTTCATCATGATGCCAATCATAAGCTTGTAGAAACGTTGGTTTCGCTATTCTGCCTGTCGACAGGACGGCGATCCTGTGGTTCGTCATCGTCAGGATTCGAACAAACGATTGCAAATAAGTACTTTTACAATGCAGATTCAAGAGAGTTAGTATAGCTGACCGGTGTGGCCGCGCCATTTTCGGAACCGTATTTAATTATAGCGCTATGAAAGGGGCGTGCACCACGTCCGATACAGTTGTCGCTATATAACATCTCGTCGAATTGATAAAACTTTTGCAGGTATTCACGAAAAACATCTACAACAATGTGTCCGCATTCATCTAAAATGGGTTTGTTCCAGTGGGGCAAACATGGTCTGAAAAGCTATTGTACCAGGAATAACAAACATTTTTTGATAGGCGAACGCTTGAAAATAGCTACGTATCCCAGGACAAATGGCATGATCGAGATAAAGGATCTACATAACAACAAATATACCTACCGTAGATCATGTCAGTCCCCTTAGAGTGTACTCACAATATCCCAATCAGTACCAACAGTTTACCAACTAAACCCCCATATTACGCGAGTCTAGTAAAGCATAAAAACCAAATCTGGCCTTCACTGAGTATAAACACGTCTCGTCTCAATTTTGCCAAACTATGCTATTGACTGCGTAGCACCTAACACAGGCTGTATCTCGCAGCTTCACCAAACTCTCGGCGACCTCGACAGCAACTTTTGTTCTCGTTACTGTTTTTAGTGGTGACCTCCGAGCACTTATAGAACGAGCTGCATTCTGAACGCTAATCCTTCGCCATCGTCGCAATTAAAACTCCAATTGTTTTCTACATGCGTATTTTTTTTTTGCTAGAGGCCTTCGCTTCTAGCAGAAACGCGATACTAGTGATCGTAAGTGATTTGGATGTCCCAGAATTGATTTGTGTCAAATCATGACATCAAGAATGAAGGTCGAAGCTTTTTACTTTGCCAATGACGAAGAAGCGAAAGACGAGTACTTGCTTGACCCTTAGAAACGAAATATCAAAGTAACGATGGTGAACCTGCAAACCCTTTGAACTGGCCTGCTTCTCCTGACGTCACGGTAAATTTAAAAACCAGACAATGATGCATAGTTAAACATGAATGTCTGTACGCGTTACTTCTGTCTATGAACTCTTCGGTGATACATTACAACGACGTCATCGCCATGGGCCAAAGTGCTCACCGAGCCGATAAAAGTGTTCACAAAGCATCAATCATTGCTGATTGGTTAACTCTCTGGGTGTAATTTAGAGCGACAATAATAACGATCACAGATCTGTCACTTGAATCGCAGGCCGCAAAATCTCATCGATGACCATTTAGATGCCACTCTACGTTCCGCAGTACAAGAGACCATTTAGCAGGTGAGGTCCAGCGATATCGAAAACCTCTATCGACAACGTAAACGTAGATTACCCTGTAAGTCGACGTCCATGCGTGCTCGAATAGAGGTATTTTAAACCTTAAACGTATTTCTAGCCAAAAGTGTTTCGAAATATCTGTAAAATATGGTCAAACAGATTAGTTGGTAAGGCTGAAAATTTCCTGGCCGCTGCGAGCCTTATTAAATAACTATTTTTTTTTATTGTTCCAGTGAATCATATCATACTAAAGCAGTGTCGTCTTAGCAGAGGCAATCGTATGTTTCAAACAATGCCCTAGATAAGTTTTCTGGATATAGTTTAGTTTGCAGTTATCGAATATTTGTTGTAGTTAATTTTTAGTTCTGTAAATATTGATTGCCCAATTGACCACGAGGACCGGATGGAAAATTGCTCAAGGAGCGTCCTTTGTCCTTGTCAGCTCTGATATTCGAAGAGGAGGGAGAGCGTACATGTAGTAAGGTGTGAGATCAGATTAGTCAAAAGCTGACTTTTCGAAACGAATGAGGCATGCGCGAGCTATTAGTACTCACATATAATAGAGAACAAATGTTTTGATCATTTCTCCGGTTAATCAATTGTTATCGACGAATCTGGCGTTTAGACATCTTTGGATAAAGACTCACAATTGCTAATCTAGCTTTTCAATCAATTGGTGCTATTCACAATCTCATCACACACGGTCTCTCCATGTAAAAGGTCGAACTAATGAGAGATGCTATTTGGTGTAATCACTGGCAGGCCGTCACCTTGTTAAAGACGACGCCAGTCATCATAACGAAACACTGCTATTTTTAAAGCGACATAAGGCAAAAGGGCTTGCTATATTTTATAAATCGGATACGTGTGATTTCCCTGACGGGATGCACCAATCGTATGCGCAGTGAGAAATCTAGAGATCGCTTTGAAGTCAATTGAATAATTAAAATAATAATAATTGAGATAATTAAAGATAGGAAGTGTCTTACAATTCATTAACTCATTTCTCAACAGGTAACGTCTAATAACTGTTGAATCAGTGAAAAATCCGTGAATATACAAGATAGGTGAGTGCCTTCATAGAAAAGATGTCCCGATAGAGACGTTTAAAGCGACAGTCTTGCAGTACATAATTTTATCTAGTTTGATTCTCCTTGACTATGACATCGTGTATCACGAATGCAAACTTAAGAGTAAACAACCGTCAGGATAAGCTGTATTTCAGCTCACGCACGAGTGCGCTTTATAACTTTATAACAGAATCAGGAAGTAACTAGATACAACAGATGTTTTCGTCGACGCCCCTTCTCCCTTTTAGAGAACATGCACATAGAACCTATAGAGTAGCAAGGAACTAATTACTTCTAGAAAAAGCTCACAAAAAGCCACTGCCAAGAACCAGTCGCTAGAACGTTTCGAATAACGTCAAAAAGCCACCCCCTAAACATTTTTCCGCTAATCACAGGTCTTCGACTTTCTTGTGAGGCAAATTCGATGTTTCGATTCTCGTCGATCCCGTTTTTCGTCCGTTCGATTTTCGTCCCTTTCGACTCTAAAACATCAAAACATTCTACCGCGTTTCATACAAACGCTCGCCTTTTCACCCATCCACAAACCACAAAACAAGCCAGAATGTTCAACTAGACAAGATGCAGCTATGCTTCACGTTTCTTTCTTAAAATGATCGGGCCAACTTAGTAGAGGGGCTCTGTGTGCGATCTGATAACAGGTTATCGGGGCGCGGGGTATCGGTTCCCTGCTATACTTCCGGGAATGCGGCGTTCCTCTGCAACGTGACCTCGCCTAAAGATTAGTGGAAAGGAAACGCTATAACAAAAAATAACGCATTAGAAAAGTGTGTTTTTTTACAATGAGCAGTACATTGCATACGACGCCATCGTAGCTATGAGAAGGCATGGAGCACCGAGCATTGCATCGTCGTTCCCATATCATAGTTGACCACTGAATTTTTCGAAGCTCGCATGCTCTCTTTTCTTGCTTTGTTAAGCAGATCCTATATAGTCGGCTTTGTTAATTCACTGGAACAATCGATGGGGCCATACCAGGGTGGCCGCAAGTGGGAGAGTGGGGCTTTACATGAATAGAGACGAAACGTACTTGCACATCTCACAGCCTCCAAGATCAACATGTCGAATGTGGTTATTACATAACAGGAAATCACCTCATGCGAACGCAATATACGAAGACGACGGCCGTAAGACAGAGCATCTTCCACTATTGTTTGACCGGACACCACACTCTGGCGGTATATGTATCCATATCCACTCATGGTCACATTACAGGAGAAGCTGGCCTGACGAGAGGTTTCCACGAACCGATACAAAATATATGAGTGCTTTCCCTATGTTCCCTTCCTTCCAAATGAAAACCTGACGTTATGGATCATTACGGCAGATTCGCACGAGTCACCTACTATATCAGCGGCATGGCTCGGTATAGTTCGGTATATAGATCTTTTGGGGGAACTGGGACAAAGACTGTAGTAATCGAGGTTCAGGAACCTAGACATTTTGCAATGTCGACCCCACCTATTAATGTTCGAGTCATCAAAACGGTGAAAACGCTGGCGCAGGAGGGATTTTTTGTTATTACAGCCAGCGCTAAGCTGTGTC